CGCCATGGATCCCTCAGAATCTGTAAAATTTGACCTTTTTAATGTATTCTATCTGTTAATTCTTTGCATCTCTGTTCCACTTCAGTCAGCTCCTGTGTTGACATAACTGGGATTTTTCTGAAAGGGATGTAGGCTCCGGTTTAATTCTTGATAGATTTTTTATAACATTTTTTTTATTTTCTTTAATTAGCTGCCACTGACAAAAACAAGAGACTGGCACAGACAAAAATGAAGAATAATGACCTCCATTTGAGTAAATTCCCTCTGTCCTGCAAGTGTTGATTAAGTTGTTTCTGTTGTTGAAGGAGATGACAGCAGAATGCTGTCTCCTCTCTCTAATTCTATCACAGATGCAACAAATCAGCCCTCGACCCGCATCAAACTCATAGGGCAAAAACACCATTAACGGGCATTTTCTTTGCAGAAATATGATTTGACATGTTAATTTTCATCTACAAACAAGAAAGCTAATCAATCATAACAGTGAGGGCAGATTTCTCATTCTCCTCTCCCTCCAGATATTAGGCTACGAAAGTTAATAAGAGACAAAGAAAGATTAACATGCTGCTGAATGCCAGCACAGTGTTAGAGGAGAAGATTGGTATGTATGGATCTAATTTCCAGAAAAGACACATTTTCTAAAGAGCAATTACATAAAACTGTAATTTGCTGTTACGCTTGAAACTATATTGGATGGACGCAAACCTAAAGAAATCCTTTTCACCCTATGTGCTAGTCTTCATTAGAAAATTGAGAAAATATAAAGGAAATTCTAATTCGAAGCTGGGCCTAGGCTGACATATAACATACAAATATATAATACATACTTATGAAAGGTTTGATAGTCAGCATATTAAATTCTGACAAGTGAGGGTGTCAGTAATTTATTTAAAAAAAGGCTCCATCATGGAATCATCAAGCTAAGGAACTTAGACATCTCTAAGTTGTCTAACATCTCCCAAATGTTATCTGTTTGTACTTGGACACTGCAAAGAATTGAAAATCTGTCAGTGTAAATACATTTTTTTTAGTAAGATGAAAGTGAAGGCTAAGCAGGGACGCACTTTCAGAGAGGTCTCTATGAAGTTATTCTAAATAAAAGAAACTGCCATGATAAGGTGAAGTATTGAGCTGCTTTTCAGAGGTTGATGTGCATTTATAGCTGAGGATATATATTTTTTTTTTGTTCTAAAAGATTCACTACAGCAAATAGGTGTCCTCCATTTTTAATGTTCATGCTTACTGACCTCTGGCTTGGGACACATCTCTATTGCATGTAGGCTAGTAAAGCCAGCTTCAGTGGGTAATTATGCAAAAATATTTTCTAATTTAGCTATGCATGACAAATTTACACAACAGAAGCAAATAGACCATCAGAGGCTGTGTCTGTTTGTGCTGTGTCATTTAGCTACATGAAAGTGAACTCTACTACTTATTAAATCATTAAGAGTGTCAATCAATGAAAATTACAAAGCTACTAAATATTTAAATAACCAAAGCAATCAGTCACTAATTGTGGTTTTAGATGCATAATTTATAGATGTGGTCTGGGATACTTAACATTTCTGCACACAGAAATAAACTATCAATAATGTCTGGTGGGGTAGAAACAGAAAAAAAAGAACAAGCGTGTGTAAGAACATGCAGTGTCATTCATTTGCCCCAACCACCACATCTGAGTCTATTTAAGAGAACAGTTTAAAGAAATACACTTTATATAGATAAATTATTTTCATTATGCTGTGTTTCCATCATTGATATATGTGCTGCATGTCTTTTTTCAGTTATTGTTTGTTTTACATTTGTTACTTTGACATAAATCACCAAATTTGGACAAAAATATTAAAAAGAAACAGCCTGGGTCTGGATATAAAATATAGTCAACATTTTTTTCACAGTTGCAGTCTTCATTATCATTAGCTACAACAATGAGACTGTATATCATCACCAGGTAGCTGGCAAAATGTTAAAGTTAAATATCAGCAAGAGTGTTGTGTAGCTGAGTAAGCATTCACATTTAAAAAATTGTACAGGGCATTAGAGTATTATCGCTTCATTAAATAAGAATGGTATTATTGGACAGTGGCAAACTACTTTAACTGCAGAGTTCAAAATGTTCCAGCAGTTGATTATTACAATAAAACCAAAAGATAAAACTGTGATAAAAGTTAAAAGCTCTGAAAATCTCACATTATTAGCCACAGAAATAACATGGATAGGTTCTGTAAGGGTTATCATGACACTAACAATATTTTTATGTCTTGGGTCTAGCTGTCGTATTATAAGCCCTTTATCCCATTTTTGTAATGTGGGGTTAGCAATCTAAATTAGACGTCTGAGCAATGAATATTAAGCAAATGTTGTACTATGGAGCTGGGAGGCAAAGCAAGGACCAAGAGGTAGATAAAAGACTAAAAGTCCCTCTGGAGGGACAATTCACTTAAGGAGAATAGCAGAGTTCCTCTCAGGTAATGTTAGTGATGTTGTAAAAGGTTTTAATGACATGAGTCAAAAGGCATTATGAACTGATGAGTTCAGGGCAAAATATGCAGGTAAATTATGCAAAACGGGTTGTTGCTTCACAAAGTACTTATGACAATGGGTCATAGAAGAACTAATTTCAGAAACTGACCAAAAGGCAATGTGGATTTCTTTGCATGAAAGAAATCAGCGGTAAAATCAGTACTTTTGTGCTACTGAATAAAACAATTACGTACGCCAGCATATGGCAGACACGGCGAATACTACTTTGAAAGTTTATTTAAACTTTGTATGTAAATAGAGAAGTTGGTGTTGATGTCTAACAGATCTGCTTTTGAGGCGTGAATTACATTAAAAGAGTTTTAGTTCCTGTGACATAAAAATTTTAAAGGATTAGTGATAGAAGATAATCAATTCTCGGCCTGTGATTTTGGCTTCATTTATTTCCCCTCTTTTTCCCCTCCTCTGGATTTTTCAAATAACAATATGTCAAACCAAAATGTAATCTAGAGATCATACAGACTTATATCATAAAGTAATTAATTAATGGGTTTTTGAAAAAACTAAACTTCCCTAACTTGATTTGTACCCCTTTTAGTTCTGGTTCACTGAGGGAGTTGTAATAACTTCTGATTTACAAAGCATTAGTGATGTACCATTCCATGGAAGCTAATGTAACCTGGATATTTTTGATATGTTGCTGGACAAAAAGAAAATCATTGGACAGTGTAGTGCAACTGCCTCTCTTCCTCTTCCTCCTTCAGCTCTATGTCCACCAAAGTGATTGCCCAATCCATCAGCAGCCATCCGCCCTGCCTCTTATGGAGAGTCACGCTGGACACAATGGCGATGGGATATCACATGTCAGATGACTTCATGGTAGATGACTTTAATATCCGCTACAGTAGCCAGCGAGGCTATACGCTACAATCACTCAATAGCCAATGAAGCCGCAGGCCACTAAACCAATATGGCATGCTATGGCGGAATGGATGTGTTCCATGGAAATCCTGTCGGTCGCAGTGTAATTTAATCCAACCCTTAGGACAAGCATCTCTCAACAGAAATGGAAAAAAAAAATCTTTGAGACCTGAGGGAGTGGGTGAATTTTATAACCCTATGCTAACCCCGTTCTTAGTTCAGTTAGTTACAATACTTTTTTTTTTCATCTCATCTAGTTTGGGTGTGAATGCAAAGGGGCTGTAAAAGCAAAGGTAAATCTGGTTACTTTTTAAAAGACAAATGGACAAACACTAGGGGGTTGACAAGTGCCTTTTTTTCCTTAAAGACAAGCATGAGAGACCATGCCCATTCAACATAAGCACAGCCCAAAACATTAGGATGAATATGACATAAAATGCTAAACAGGAAAAAAATAGAAGTCCTAGGAGATTGTCAGGTTACCTGCCTCATAAAAAGGTTTTAAAAAATCCTGTCTTTGAAAACCATCTACAACTTGAACAGCTCCTGCAAAACTTAGAAGAAAGGAAGATATTCACTGACTGAATCTGAAAAAAACAATACATTTTCATCAAGTAAAAGAATAAAGTGCAACAACATTTACTCAGCAACTAAATAACTCTAGCAATAGATAAAAAATGAACAATTAATAAATGCTTTCGGGAAAATGGAGCAGTGTGTCCACCACCTGACAGCAACCCTTATGATTTCTCTGGTCCGTGGTGGAGGGACAACACAACTCAATTCAAGTCTATTACCAAGCTTTGATAAAAACCTAATTTCCCTGGGGCTTCAACTTCAGATGAACTCAGTTTGGCTCAGTTCCTCTGCCAAGAGGCACACAACGTAACATTTACCACAAGCTGAGAAGAATCGCTCTGTAATGCAGACAGAGAAGCCCTTCTTTTTGAATGATACAGTATTGCACAGCGAGGGAAGTGAGCTATAGTTTTCAAACCGTCTCAATTTAACTCCCCTCTGAATTCCACTGCCATTTGAGGGAATGGTTTTCTGTAAGCTGCTCGAGTGTGGAAGCAAGAGCATGAAAACATGTGCTCGGATCAGAGTCATAGCAGTCACTACGCTGTGTTGTGAGGCTGAAGGAATGGCATGTTACTCGCTCAGTCGAATTAATGGAGACGCATTTAGAGTGGAGTGGGTGCTTCAGCTTTGTGAGTCCAGTTTGGCCATTTTGTGTTTTCTGTAAACACACGTGTGCATTTGTGCGGCTCTTATTTACAGAAAACAGCACAGTGCTTGTGTGTACATACAAAAGGATTAAGATAAGGCACAATCCCAATGTTTTTATGTTGCTGGTGAAAAGTTTGCTGACAATTTAAAACTTTGAGAGAGGAATCATAATGGGTCGAAATTCTTCCATATAACACAAGGCATGATCTTTATTGACTAAATGCCATTCTCCCTGGTTATAAAGACATCTTAATAATTTTTGGTAGGAGACCTGTGGTTGATTAAACACCATAACTCAGTTTTTTTTTTGCCTTTAGCAATCAATTGTTAGTATTTGACGGTGGGATGCAAACTTGGCAGTTACTCACAGATGTAGTAGTATTCTCTGCCCGGTCTGAATTCGAAGCCCAAGGAGAAGGGAGTGAAGAGCTGGAACTTCTCTGAAAACTTGAGGGGTCCATTTGGGGAATGCGGCCTGTTGCACTCCCAGCGCTTAAAGCCCTTGGAAGTGTGGTCGCACGTGCTGTAGCCATCGTAGTTGACCATGTAGAGGACATAGCGCTCTGTTCGCTCCGCAGGCACTGAGTCTTCATAGTGGGGGCAATACACATCCAGGTAATCATTTATGCATACGTCAATGTGGTAATCGCCACGATGGAACCTGGTAGGAGAACAGAGGAGAGGAGAAAAAGCTTATTAGTGAAAAGCTAAATGATAAAATACAGTCTTCTGAATCGACATTAATCACTATAGTTAATATTTTCCAAGCTTAAGTTGAACCGAGATCAAAAACAAGTGGCAAGATTGTTAGTCTCTTTCTACAACAAATTTTGAAATGTTGGTCTGTTAATACATTTTTCCATTCAACAGACATTTACTCACGCAGACAAACACATGTCTTCCAAATGAAAAAATATGTTTAAAAGACAACAGGTTTTTTATATTTTTTCAGGAAAAGTAGAAACATCTACAGGAAGATTTTTCAACAAAAGGAAACGAGTATCAAGTAGAAATTATTACAGAGACAGAATAGCAGGATGGTAGGACAGTAAATGTCACAATGGGAAAAATATGGTGCCTGGCTGTCTCCTAGGGCTGTGCATTGAAGCATCTTTACAGCAGCAATGATCTAGAACGGGCCGCACAGGGTCAGAGGGCTGCAATACATACAGGGAGTTTCATCAAAAGGCCACACGCTGTCACAGCCGGCTAGCATCCGCACACACACACACACACACTGACAATCTCCTCTCTGTTGCTCACCGGATAGGGCTTTTAACAGAATTAGAAAGCAATTTCAGTCTTGCGAGCCTTCTGGTTTATCTAGGGTGGTATGACCCTCACCCCTGAGCAACAAAAGGCTCAAAGGGGACAAAAAAACGCTGAACACCTGTTAACTTGTTAGTGATGCCCTCAATTAAGCACGTACACCAGAGGCAGCCTAAGAATGATGATGTTAACCAATCGCCATGCCCATCCACACACAGCTGGTGCTAACCGGCTCATTTCACAGAGAAGCCAGGTGCCTATGATGGAGATCCAGCCTTTAATGTTGCAAGGGCACGATCTTAGAAGAGTTTAGAGAAAACCTTTAATTGAAATCTGCCACTGTTCTCTACAAGAGGTGCTCCTCAAACCCCAGAACACACGAGGGGCACAGTGTACGACAGGCAGAAATCATTTCCTTGGAAGGACTCAGGAGCTTTAGGATTACCATACTGAGGCAGCATTGTGAACTCTTTCTCTTTTTTTTGCTTCACTGTCCTTAAAGTTTTGCATAAAAGATTATCGATTGAATACCGATTCATGGTCCCCTCAGGGGGTAGGTGTGATAAAGAACAAGGTTTAGCTGATAAGATCACTCTCGGGTTTGTGATAGAAAAAAGGAGTTAATTGATTTTCATCAAATCCCTCAAAAAATCCTGAGATGCTGAATATATTCAAGACAACGTGAAGTTTTCTTTATTAGTCTAATTTTCCCCTCATTTTGTTTCCCTAAACCTTCTAATTTGCTTTTTCAATTCATAACAGCACCGCCTCTCTGCTGTTGCTTTGTGTGCTTTGACGTTGGGTATCTGAGAAGAATAGAACTTTTCAAATCAAATTGCTGCCTTAACATGTTTGGCTTGCATTAGTCTACAGTTTGTTCAGACAAATTATGCAAAATTACAATCCCGCTGAAACAACGGCAGTCAGAAAAATCAAATGGTATTTTGCAAAGAAAAAAAATTCCATTTGGTATCTAGTCTGTGTAATAATAGAGTGACAAACTGAATGAGGCCATCTCTCATTATTGTGATCATGTGTGCTGGCTGGAAAAGTTCAGTGTATTTCTGCACGCCTGTGTATATGCAAGCTTGAGCTGGCATGAAATGTAGTTTTTCTGTTTACCCATGTAGGGTAAATATCAGTGTAAGGGTGTTTACAACCGAGGCACGGGGGAGCTCATCTGTAACATTTCATTTAAAACATGTCTATTGAGGTCCAAGAAGAGCCATGCATCTCTCTTACTGCTTCAAAATGTCACTGACTTAATGGTCACATCCTCCCATCCCCTTTTCCCTGGCTTCTGTATATGCGTTCACTTTGTGCATTTGAGTGTATGAGAGGATGTATGCATGCGTGCATGCATGTGATGTTTCAGCTGCCCTTCTCTCCGTGCCTCGGCAGCCAGAATAGCGGCTTGTGGCCCTGACTGCAAATGAGCCAGAGGATGTTTGGGTGAGTGAGCTCATAAAAATGGGCAGCACTGTCATTTGTAACATGTATCACAGATGCAAAGTAAAAAAAAAAAAAGTGATATATGCATAAAGAACAAATCTATCACACACCTGACAAACACACACACACACACACACACACACACACACACACACACACGCACACACACAGAGCAATGTCAATTGCGAGAGCTCCCTGGCACATTGGTAAAGGAGAGGCAGTGAGACAGCTAGAAGCTGCTAATGACACAGAGTGAGAAAGGGCATGGGGGTGAGAACCAGACACAGGGAAGAGAGAAAGCACCTACTTCCAAGAGAGGGTGACAGAATACAAAAAGGACACAGCAGGATTACTACGCAGAAAGTTAATTGATAATCCCTCAGCGACGGCTGTTTTTTGTGTGTTTTAGGAATATATAGTAAAGAGCTTTGAGAATTTTTTTAATTTGTTTTTTTTTTCTTTCATGTGCTAATTTTATTATAATTGTTAAGTCTTCTATAAAAGTGCGATGTAAAATAGAAAGAATCTGACGGAAAACAAATTACCTCAGCCTAACTAAACAATGTTTGCTCTGACGTGTCTTTTTTGTTGCTATGCTTAAAATTCATTCACATGCAACAGCCGTTGGAGTAATAACTTCTTCATTGATTGGGTTGGCTCTTAATTAAAAACTGCTGATGGCTTTCTATGAAAGGAATTAAAGTAAACTGGAGGTGCCTCTCTCATGTCGTATACAGAAGATTTTAGGAATGGCTGGTAATGCATTCACACAATGTGTGCGTCTTTGTTCCAGAGTACCAAAATAGAGACAGTGACGTGTTTTTTCTGTTCAGTCATTGCCATACAAATGTTTTGTTTTTTTTAAACCCAAAAATCAGATCCAGACTTAGTTGCCTCTTCCCACATATGAGACTGAGTCATTTTATTCCAACAGCAGAGTATCGAATGTTTGGTTCAGCTAAAGGCTGGCAGGACGCATAGTAAAAAGTGTGCTTTGACCATGTTATGGTTCTTAATTTGGTAATAAACAGAAGAGACTCTTGTTACTCTCTATATTGTTCTTATGATTCAGGGACCTTTAGTGGACAAAATCAATGCAAACACTTAATGTTTTATATAAAAACTCACATAGTTAAATTAACTTTTCTTTTTTTAATCTCAAGTGGCGATGACTTTTTCAGGTTTCTAGGGCCTCACTCAGCAGCATTCTTTACACTGGAAGTAGGAACACCTAGGCACTGAGTTCAAAGCTAAGGGGCCTCTAACCAATGAGCGACACCCTACTATAATGATATAATACTCTGATGGATTAAAGCAGACATTGAGGGAAGACGGGACGGTAAAAGTCATACAGTGTCTGGTCTGACTGATTCTGACATTTACATTCTCAGACGCAGATCCTCGAGGTAATTGCTACAAAAGGTAGGGCTTTCAATACACACCAGGAAACTCCCATCCTCTTAAATGAGTGACAAAGCTGGTGCAAATCATTTTAAAGTGTCCAGATGGAGATTGCGCTTGTTATCCGCACTTTTTCCCCCAATGCCACACACATGCAGGCACTCCACCCGACCACAGTCACCTCCTTGCATTTTTATGACGCCCTTCTGGTAACCATTTTTATTTTTTCCCATTCTTGCTCTGAACTGCAGTGGTGCAGAATGGCAGCGGATGCTTTCAAGCACTAAAATAGGTAATTAAGGAGCAAACTTGGATGGGAGGCTAATTGTCCAATGGTGATAATTACATGTCTTTGTTATGCCACAGCTGTCCCAGAGAGCTGTGGGTCACAACACAAAGCCAGGGAGATCAGCTGGACTTGTCAGATAGAGGGAGATAATCGTTATTACCAACTGATTACATTTTCACATCGCCTACCCGGGCCCTTGGGTTAAAACTGAGGGGCCAAGTATTGTCAGCACACATGCAAAAAGCGGAGATACCCACATAGGCAAACAGAGTCGCAAACAGAGAGAGTGAGTTTTGGCAGAGCTGGAACACTGAAGTGAATGCGGGGTAAGGTGGCAAGCCACTGCAGTCCCTGATTGGCTCATTTCCATTTCAATTACACAGCCCAGTGACATTGCAGTGTGCACACTGGGGCAAAAAAAAAAACACTCAGTCAATGAGCAAGAGAGAAACATACACACAATTGCTTGTGCACGCACGGGCCCCGTGCTCACACACTGTACCCTACGCAGTCCCATCTGCCACTTCACCTAAACTGTGCACCAGTGGCTGAAGACAGACAACAAGAAAGGGCAGGGAGAGAGAGATAATCTGAATGAAAGAAGAAGACGGAGAAGGGGGAAAAAGAGCAAAGGCTCAGTGGAAGCCACTGAGCAATCCATGTCATCTACGAAGTTGAATAAGTGAGATTCAATAGAGAGTAGAAAGAGGAATATCGTGACATGCTGTTGCACAGCATTGCAGTAACTACTACTGATCAAAATGTCACTCTGAGGCAGAGGTGGAGTCTAATTCCTAGCAGGGTATTCAAATGGATTAAAAGTCTTTAATTAATTAGTTCCTTCAGAATGGAAGAAAACACATTTCATTTTGCAGTGCTGTCTTTTGAAAGACGACAGCATCAAAAGAGCATTCTTTTGAATGCTCTAAAAGAGCATTCTTTGGGAAACAGTCTGTTGAGGTCTTATACTGTATATTGCCATGCAGAGCCAATTAATGCACACGCGTTTCAAGTAAAAGAAAGTGCCTGAAACAATCCTAATTTCATGCTCTTTAGATACTAACATGAATTGTCCATGCTGAAACACACCAAAACAGCTATTTATATTCCCAAATGAAAGTCTACTTCAGCATAGAAGATCGGTTTAGTGAGTCTCTACCTTTCCCTGGTTATTCTGTGTTTTGCCTCTCCTATTCCATTTCTTTTTTCCCCACTGACAGTTTGAGTTCCCTACACTTTTAAATTATGCT